TAGTATGGATATTTTCGATTATGGATATTTAAGATAGTTGGATGATTTTTTAGGCTTTGTAATTTTTAGATAAGCATGTATTTCTTTTTCCCATCTCTTCTCAGTAACTTTATAGGATTAGGGAAATAATTGAGAGGTAAAAATAGTTTTTACACTGAACAGTATTTTATTTGTATTCTACATATAATTATATTTTTAAACCAAGCTTTAAGCAGGTAGGCTTTTTAAAATTCAAAGCTTAGAAAAATTCAGTGTTACTGGGGGTCAGGAGGCAACAGGGTTCCCCACTATGAACCTGACTTTGGTATGGAGAGACAGGGGGTATCAGGAAGAATTCCTAAACAGGAAGACCTCAGTATCACAGGTGATTATCTTAATAGTTTTTAACCGTTACCCACATTTAGGAAATGTGCTGGTAATCCAATTTAGATTTCTCCTAAAAGGAAAAAAAAAATTGAGGGATATTGAGATTTTTTTGAAACTGAAAACACATTTCATTTAAAAAAAAAAACTTGTTAGTGTGCTATAGCTTTACTATTATCTGTTGTATCTATAAGCTGAGTAGTTTCTTCCATACCCTTCAAATCTGTATGCTGCCTGTTAATAAACATGCAAATTGAAGTGTACTACAAGCCTGGTAAGTTTTCTCTTCCAATCCATCTTGTTTACATTACATTACTAAGGTGTAGGGAAGATTTTATATTGCTATATACAGTTAAAATGTCTCAAATGAATGCTTTTTTCTTAATTAAATGTTTTTGTTAAGGTATATTTTGTGATTGACATGATTATGAGACTTAAACTGAGATTGGCAATAGCGCTGTATTAGAAAAGTGCATTTTACTTTGTTAAACTTTTAAGGAACTGTGGATACAGGTAAGTCTTGTTGGAATTTATAAATCAATTATTGAATAGAACTGGGAAATTAAAAAAAAAAAAACTGAATTACACCATACATTCTTTCTTTTTTCATGTAGGAGGAATACTTGTTAGTTAAATCCTATATGTGATAGATACATTACTTATTTTATCATCTAATTTACTGTTCAGAATGCAATTTTTAAAAATCTCTAAAATAAAGATTCTATATATTGTATGTATATGGAGATTTCCCCCAGTTTTTATAATTGCATATGACTAACCTCCATTATTAACTTGCACAGTGGAAATGAGCCTGTATTTGGTGCCTGCAAACATTGGAAGCATATTCTGAAGTGTTGGCTCCTCATAGTAGCAATTTGAAATGGTATGGCACATACACTTTCACTATTGCAATCATTTGCTTTTTTTTTTTTAAACGAAAACAACCTTCCATCAGTTTTTTAAAAAACAGTGAACTTTGATAAATGAAGGAAAATTGGTAGAGGTTGCGGTCCAATTCTCTGGGGAAGCTAGGTTGTACAGTGGATAGAGTACCGGGCCTGGACTCATCTTCCTGAGTTAAAATCTAGCTTCACACACTTACTAGCTTTGTGACTCTAGGCAAGTCACTTAACCTTGTGTGCCTCAGTTTCCTCATCTGTAAAATGAGCTGGAGAGGGAAATAGTAAACCACTCCAATATCTTTGCCAAGAAAACTCCAAATGGGGTTACAAAGAATTGGCCACGACTGAAAAAGACTGAAAAACAGTGGTCCAATTCTCTAAATGGTATTTCTATGCAGAAATTCTACAAAATATCCCACAAAACAGAGTACAGAGATTCCACCTTAAAATTGTAATTCATTGTATATAAACACAATCCATACTTTTCATATTTATCATATCAAGATAAAGAATTAGGTCTAACTAGTTTTCTTGTTTCCTCTAGTTTACTATGTAGTTAGATGCCCTACAAGGCAATTAGTAACTCAAAAATAGACTTTAATGTTTAGAATGAATGTCATAATTCTTACATTATCTTTTTCTGTTTACTGTAGTTTAGGACATAAACTTTTTAGCAGGATTGTATTCTCCTGACTTTAATAAAAGCCATACAGGACTTTAAAACATTATTATGCAAAGTTTGAGGCATGTAGATAAGTCAAGAGACAGCATGGTGGAATGAGAGAGAAAAGGACTGGGCCAGGAAGACCTGGGTTCAGGTCCCACATCTGCCCCATACTGGCCAATCATCCTGCTGGACAAGTTTCTTAACTTCTCAGTGTTCCCAGGCAACTCTCTAAGACTGTAATTTGCCAAGAAAGTGGTAAATGTGAGCTCTTTGAAGACAGGGAGTGATGGTGTTTTTCCCTTTCTCTGTATCCTCAGTGCTCAGCATAGTGCCTAGCACATAGTAAGCATGTAATAAACGTTTCTTGACTGACCTATGCTGGTAGAAAGAGTTCCTTACAGGTCCAGTCTCTGTGCTAGATAACTTAGTCTAATAATAGCTCACATTTATATAGTATTTTAACTTATAAAGTACTTTACCATTGGAAAATAGCTCATGTATATTTGATATGAATAGTTTCATGTACTTTAAATATCACTTGCAATTGAAAGAGTTTTATAAATTGAGGAGGGACACAATCTCACAGCCAAAGTGCTACCTTTTATATAAAGCTTTTTTCCCCATTCCCCCGCCCCCCCAGTTATTAGCACTCCTTTTTGAAGTTTATTTTCTCTATCCTTTTGTATTTATTTCCATGTGTGTACAGTATGCTCCCCCGCCAGTGGAATGTAAGCTCTTTTAGGGCAAAGCTGTTTCATTTTTTCGTATTGTGGCTAGCATTGTGCCTGGCACATAATCAGAATTTAATAGATGTTCCTTAGATTGAATTAATGTCTTTATCATTGACTTTGATTTCAGATTTCATAATCTTCCTAATTTTACCAGCTGACATATGTAGACTTAAAATTCTAAATGTGCTTTGATGCTCTTATTTAAAGGAAGATTTGAATATCCTAAATTCTTTGTTGATGCTACCTGTCAACTCAAAGGGAGAGGAAAAGGGACTTGGCAACTATTTTAGCCTTGCAAATAAATTCACAAAGTTTACTGGCCCATAAAATTTTCTGTTACTCTAACCTCTTCACTGAAGCTATATAGGTTACGTAATAAACATTTGTTTTATGTACTTATTCATCTGCTAAAAACTCACTATTTGTCCTGGGCAAGTAAGTATTTGCAGGGTTGAATTTAATCATCCTAAAAGTTTGATTTGCAATAATCTGGTACCTTATTTATGCATGCTCTTTGCTTTGCAAAAGAATGCAGGCTTATTTCTTTTAAAAGTTTTTTAATTAGGCTGAACCTTCCATTTGAAGTTTGATGTATCTATTTCTTTTTTCTAATGTGCTCTTAGTAATGCCTTTTATCTAATGCTTTAATAATGTCTTTTTGTTAAATAATATTGTCTTACAGATTTTAGAATTAGGAATTGTATGGAAATTTGGGGGGAGGTATTTTGTTTTGTTTACCAGTTTAACTGAAGGATTTTTGTTCTTGGTCATTAATAAATTCTTCTTACCTTATAGCTTGTTATCATATAATTTATATTGACCTTATTTTATTCTCCAATATTGATTTCTGAATAATGTCTCAAACAATCACTGCTTGCTTACCTGTGCCTATGCCACATGCTGCATCAGATTTTTCTAAATGTTTTTTCTATTCCTATCATATCTTGTAAATACATTTTACTAACATAAACTTACCCTTTTTTACATGTGTTTTCAAGCTTGTTTTTAGTCTTTGAAATGCATATTGCATTAATAGATTGTTTGGGGACTACTATAAGATTGCATTACAACCATGTTCTATAAAAATTTATGTTGTGATTTGTCTTTTTTCACATTTAACCAACATGTTTAACTTAGTAAAATAATAAATCCAAGGATCACATGATTGTTCCTACCTATCTTTAATAAAAACACTATTCTGAGAGATTAAGAGGGAGATATTGGATATTAAGAAATTAATGCTGAGAGAATTTGACATTCCCACAGTTGAATTTAGTTTGAATTTCCTTACTTTCAGTTCATTGCTTTTATAAGCTTAATAGATTGAGAACTAGAAGGAACTACAGAGGTTATCATTTTATAGAAATAGAAACAGATGACCAGAGAGGTGACATGACTTGTCCAATGTTACATAGATAATAGTAGAACTAGGATTTGAATCCAGCTTCTGGGGCTCCAGATCCACAATTTTCTACTCTATCAACTCCTCAACCAATAGACTAGTGTTTCTGAAAGTAGAGTCCTCTTGAGTTTTAGGTACTCTCTGGCCCCTGAGTTTTTCATTCCAGTTGTTAGTTCATTGCTTAAACAGTTCTGAAAATTTCTTCTGAACAAATTTTTATGCTTTTTTCTATACCATTTTTGTTGATTCTATAGAATATTGATTAAGAATAGTGTAGTATAATGGATAAAGACCTGACTTCAGAACCAGGAAGACCAGATTTCAAGATTTACTTGCCTCTGACACATAACATCTGTGTGTTATTTTGTATGGGCAAGGGGATCCGGGCAACTCAGACATTATAAACTGCAGAGAAGGTGATCTTCGTTAGTCAAAAGAATGTTTTCATCCAAGGAGTTCCATATACTAGTTAAATCACAGCTCTGGTTCTTCTCCCTTTAGAGGATTAATTAACTTTAAAATACTAGGAAATCCACTAGTAGTAATTATTCTGAATCTTGGCAAGATTAATATTCATTCTTGAGTTACAAGTTATCTTTCAATTTAGTTTAAAAATATTTCTTATTAGTATTTTTAGTAGGTGGGCTAAGTTTAACTTTTTAAAAGAAACAAATATTTGAGAATAGGAAATCTTAATTTAAATAGCATTATGCATTAACATTTATCAAAATGATTCCTCTTGTTCTTTTCTCATTTTGTCATAAATTAGAACCTTTAAGAGTATATCCACTTATATTAGTGCATGAATAATCAATAGTGTATGAAATCTAAGCATGTGCTTATTAACTAAATCACATTTTCCTTACATTTTACCTTTATTCATAAAAATGCTGGTTCTGTTAGTGTATAGTCCATTCTCTTTTTTTATTTTGTAGATCAGCCAAAATGGGAAGTACTGGATTCTGCTCTCCTCCAAGAAGAGTCAGTGGGACTGGTTAAGATCAGTATCTGAGGATTTTACCAGCAATCATCAGGTGTGCATTGAGCAAAACCATTGTAATTCTCTTTTATGTATGTATCTAAGATATAGCTTAATGTATGTATTTATTGTTTTATATGTACAGTTATTATTAGATGTTGAACCATGTGTTTATCCTGCAGTTATGAAAGCACCAAAAAAATTATACTTTGAATTTTGGTATTCTGTTAAGTACAGATAGGTATTATTATTCATAAAATATTTTCAGCTGGTCTTAGAAAACTGTAATATTTGAGCATCAGTGTTGAAATCATTCTTCATTGCTCAGTATGTACATCCAGGAGTAAAATTTCTGACTCTTTTAAGAAGTAACACTTAAAACCAAAAGGTGAACCATTGTCTAAAAGCATGAAGTATATATTTGTACATATTTTCACAATTGCACCTTTGATTTTTCTTCAGTACGTTTCACTGACTTAAAATTCATTCTAATTAGTCCAAACCAAAATTTTATTTTTTATGGTTAGGTCACATAATATGACAAATATAGCCAATTTCTAAAAAACCTTTGACTGTTATATGTAGCAGCTTAGGGAAATGGCATGTATCATGAGTTGTTTTCTTTTAAGTAGAAAAAAAATTAGTGCCATTTGTTTTATAGGTACACAAAAATATTATGTTATTGACAGGAAATAGATCAGACTAATATGTCCTTCGGATTCTGACTTGGCAGAAATACTTTGCAACATTCTACAAAGATATAACTATCTGGCACAGCTAATTAAAGTTATTTGTTTAGGAATTCCTGAGGAATACATAGGAACTCTTACTAGAATAGAGAAAACTAAAGAAAAGGAATTTTTGAAGATCCTTAGGGCTAAGAAAATCTTCAAAAAGAACAGAAATATAGCATGTCAATAATTAGCAATGGCAGTAGCAATGATTCCTATATATGCATACTCAAGGAAAGATGCTATAAAGCGCTGCCTCAATTATCTGGTTACTAATGGATTATTCAGTTTAAATTTTTGGTGTACGTTTATGTGATACACTTGGATAAATTGCTTGGTGTCCTACCTTTTTATTTGTGTTGTCACAATCTACATATTAAAATATAGTAAGGCCAGGTCACCATGACATCATTTTTACTGCTCAGAGCTCTATGTTCTCTGGATCCATTTGTGTCCTGAGAAAACAACATGACTACAGATTGGGCCTCAGTTTCCTTAACTGTAAGATGAGGGCATTAGATTAGATGTTCTGTGAAGTCCTTTTGAGCTGTATGTCTGTGAGCCAGATAATTCCAATAGATAGTTTGTAAGCAAGAATTTTATCCCATACAGTGTCATGAAGGATTTTTTTTCTGGGTTTAATACCTTGAAAAAAGCAAATTGAATCCAAAATAGGCACCAATACATGCATTCAGCTATGTTCAGTTTTTTACTTCAGAAATTGGCCTTTTTTAATAGAGATGCCAGGTTAAGTTATTTCTGCGTGTACTCTAATGAATTGAAGAAACATTGTCTTTTGAACACTGTAGGACAACAATTCATCATTGCATATTTACCAAGTACTTGATATTGGCAAGCTGTTTTCTTTTTCAGAATTAGTTTTTCCAAGCTGTGTAGTCCTTTCTATCTTACATTTAAGAATTTCTTGAAGATGAAATGTTTATGAAGCTCTTTTAAGATCTGGTGTTTTTTTTAAGCCACATATTTTACAATGCATTATATACATCTTCCCAGTATAGGTTATAAATTCAGTTACTCTGACCCACCAACATTTTTGCCAGCTTGAATCACCTCGTATAGTGAGTAGTTCAGTTTTGCTGTTTTTTAGGTGTTCTTGCGCAGACATTGTGCCCCAAGCAAGGTCTTTGATCCTTCCAAAATAATGACAAGGAGCCATGATCCTGACCTAATTTAAATTTCACAAGATTTTACCATTTCAAGATGCAGACTTGTTACGAAGATAAGACATTTCCAGTCTTGAACTCAGAAAGCCTATTGGGTGTGATAATACTGGTAAGAGGAGTAAATTGTTCATTTCGGGGGAGTACATTAACTCTTTCAGGCCTTCAGTGTCCTTTAAGTAAATAGCCTCTTCCAGTGTGCCAAATGATACATGAGAGTTTTCACCTAGCCTTATGTATTTTCCTATCATACAGTAGTCTTTTAGTAGCACTGAGGGAAATGCAGGCATGAAATTTTTTATTGAAATTTTGTTTTTATTCAGATGTATGCACTCCTGATCTCTTGTTAAAAAAATGAAGCTGACATTATACAGCTCTTCATATTAATTTTGTGTGGATATCTCTTATGATTTCCCTGAAACACTATTATTATCCCAGAATGTAAGAGTTTCAAGGTACATGTGGAACTGTTCATCCTGAGCAATGCATTCATATATACTTTTAAAAATATGAAGAAATCTACAGATATTACATTAGACCAGCTGAATCCAGTTTTATGGGTTTTTTTTTTAATTCAGAAGCATCACATAGCAAGTAAACTTTTTAAAAAAAATAAATTAAGTTTAGTTACAAACTAGTTGTTTCTTATTTTTTTTTCCAGTCCCCTTTTGCTTTCTTTTACGACCACATGAAACTTGAGAAGCCATCTAAAGCTAAATCATTTAGTGGAGTTGGGCAGTTCCCAAGTGTCCAACAAGAAGGCCTGGTTTAGGCTGCGATGGCCACTGTCATTCCTGGTGATTTGTCAGAAGTAAGAGATACCCAGAAAGTCCCTTCAGGGAAACGTAAGCGTGGTGAAACCAAACCAAGAAAAAACTTTCCTTGCCAACTGTGTGACAAGGCCTTTAACAGTGTTGAGAAATTAAAGGTTCATTCATACTCTCACACAGGAGAGAGGCCCTACAAGTGCACGCAACAAGACTGCACCAAGGCCTTTGTTTCTAAGTACAAATTACTAAGGTATTAAACTCTCTTTATCTTTCAGATTATATTTTCTATTATGTTGGCCACTTTAGGCCCTTGTAAAAGTATTTATTTGTGTACACATTCTTCAGCTGATTTGCAGAGAGGAAATGTTAAGTAAATTAGATTTTGGATTGTTTTTAGAGTTCCAAATTGCATTACTTTATATGTTAATGTCTTTGGGTTTTTTTAATAAAAAGCTTAATAAGAATAGAATTTCCATTTGTACAAGGAATTGCTACAAGAAAAGTGTATGGACTGAAAATTTTTGGTTATGGACATTTACGTGAGTATGTTCAGTCTTACCTATTTGCCCTTGTTATGCTGACTAAAAGCCAGCAGAAACTAAAATGACAACTTAAATGACTCAAATTTTGCTATAACTTAGGCATGTTCAGTTATCCTTATAGTATTGTAAGCTAAAAAGGTTCTGTTGGGAAGAAACTTTAGCATAGGATTTTAGCTTCCTTTTTAAAAGTGAGCACGTGTAATTTTTGATCAAAATAATTACTTACAGAATATATCTGTGTTTAAAGGCATATGGCTACTCATTCTCCTGAGAAAACCCACAAGTGTAATTATTGTGAGAAAATGTTTCACCGAAAAGATCATCTAAAGAATCACCTACATACACACAACCCCAACAAAGAGGCGTTTAAGTGTGAAGAATGTGGCAAGAACTATAATACCAAGCTTGGGTTTAAACGTCACTTGGCCTTGCATGCTGCAACAAGTGGTGACCTTACCTGTAAGGTATGTTTGCAGACTTTTGAAAGCACAGGGGTACTTTTGGAGCACCTCAAAACTCACGCAGGCAAGTCTTCTGGTGGGGTAAAAGAAAAAAAGCACCAGTGTGAACACTGTGATCGCCGTTTCTATACCCGAAAAGATGTCCGTAGACATATGGTCGTGCACACTGGAAGAAAGGACTTCCTTTGTCAATACTGTGCACAAAGATTTGGACGGAAAGATCATTTAACTCGTCATATGAAAAAGAGTCACAATCAAGAACTTTTGAAGGTCAAAACAGAACCAATGGACCTTCTAGATCCCTTTACCTGCAACGTTTCTGTGCCTATAAAAGACGAGCTGCTTCCAGTGATGTCTTTACCTTCCAGTGAACTAACATCAAAGCCATTTACAAACACTTTGCAGTTAAACCTTTATAATACACAGATTCAATCCATGCAGAGTTCTGGACCAGCACACCAAATGGTCACCACATCATTACCTTTGGGAATGACATGCCCAATTGATATGGAATCTGTTCACCCTTCCCACCATCTGTCTTTGAAATATCCACTCAGTTCTACCTCATATGCAATTTCTATGCCTGAAAAAGAACAGCCATTAAAAGGGGAAATTGAGAGTTACTTAATGGAGTTACAAAGTGGTATGCCTTCCTCATCCCAGGATTCTCAAGCGTCTTCATCTAAACTAGGCTTGGAGCCTCAAGTAGGACCCCTAGATGATGGATCTGGGGAACTGTCCTTATCCAAAAGTTCCATTTCCATTAGTGAACCTCTAAACCCATCATCTTTGGATTTTTCCCAGTTGTTCAATTTCATACCTGTAAATGGCCCCCCCTATAACCCTTCTGTATCGGTGGGGAATCTTGGACTGAGCTATTCCCAAGAGGAGACACATTCTTCTTTGGCTCAGCTTCCACCACAGACCCAGGATCCTCAAGATCCTGCAAACAGTATAGGCCTCGGTTCTCTGCACTCCCTGTCAGCAGCCTTCACAAGCAGTCTAAGCACAACCACCACCCTACCACGCTTTCACCAAGCTTTCCAATAGGATACAGAGAGCTGTCTTACTAAAAAATTTATTTGTAGAAATGCCTTAGGTGACCATTTTTAATGTAGTGCCTACATTAAGACATTATAAAATCTCTGCTTACTTTGTATAATACCAATTTCATTAAGCCAGTAAGAAATTGAAGCTAACTTTTTTAATGAGCTCTGAAACCGTTTGTGTTCAATTATGTTTACTTTGGTTAAGTCTCAAAGTGTTTTGTCATCTTTTCACTGCCAATTGATGTGCTTTACAAAATAATTGATATAGGAAAGCCATGACTGTTAAACTTCAGTATATCCCTCTGTTAAAAATTTTCAGACATTAATCCTTTCATTTTTATACAATAATAATGGCTCTACCCATTAATGTTTGGCTCAGTAAAAAAGATTTGCAACTGAATGTTAATTTACAAAATTTTGAGAGATACCTGTAGACTTCCTAAATTGTTAAGTAGCTTTGATTTGATACATAATTTAAATGTTTCTTCTGAATTAAGAATCCAAATTTTTGTGTCAAAAAAAAATGTTTTTATTTGCTATCACAATTTCAGGTCAGTATGTTTTGAAGACTTGCTATTGTCTGGCTAAAATGTTTGTGGTCTTTATTTTAAAACAATAATATTTTAAAACAGCCGCTTAAACACAAAGCAACAGTATTCTCAAGAGATAATGCTCTTCTAGTCAGTAAATATTTTCATTCTGACATGAAATAATACTATTTCATGGCACTGGTAGGAAGAATGTAATGATTGACCTTAAAAAAAGTATTTAGTAACAAATTAGTACCACAGATTATTCTGTCATTTTTCAACTTTCAACATAATTCTAAACTTGCTATCTCTCATCTTAGTGGTATTAAAATTAAGGTATATTGGAGTCTTCAGAGTGTATTCAAATCCGTAGACCTCATCAATCTTTTCCACCTTTCACAGCCAAAGTGTGGGTCAGGTCCAGCCAGAAACTTTACATTGATTGTCAATTAGCCAACAATCAAAGAGCCAGTGTAGATTTTCAAATGTCAGGTATGTTTGTAGTAGAGTGGATCTTCTCAGCTTGTATGGTGTGATTTTCCTGAGTAAGAAGATATTAATCACACCTGCTAACCCTGGGAACTTGGTTAGGGACAATTTCCCCTGTTGCCAAGGTTTAAAACAGGACTCTTAGGAGTAAAGTAAAAGCATATTGCTTACACCACTTTTTACTTAATACACTCTAATTCTTCCCCAGTTTTAAGAGCCTGAAGCAAAAAAACTACAACAAATCTCAAACCTTCTCCCTGCCAATCCCACAATAAAAGTGTATTTTCTATGTAGTGCTCATTTTTTTCTTGCCATTTTTTTAGTAAGCAATTTAAAGTTAAGTGCATGGCAAGTAGCTTTGAGGCATTATACAAAGTTTTAAGTGGCTAAACATATATACAGTAAAACCCCACTTTTACACTTCTCCAGAAATGAGGTGGGGGTGAATACTACAAATAGGCAGAAAGTGACAAGACAAATTAAAGTTGAACAAGCCGAATTCTAGTTAATATAGTATCAGTAACCATAGAATATTTTGCAATCACCAAGTCAAGTGCCTTGCCACCTTATAGGTGCTTAATAAGTATATTAATTGAATCAGATGGTCTTTGCTCACTAGACTGAGTAAGTACCTTCTCAAAAGATAAAATAGTAAAGCTCTTTCCTCACTGTCAGTTGGAAATCAACCCGGGAGACCATTTCTATAGGTAGCCTTATAAGGTTTATGGGATTGTCAGAGGAACTATGGATCTCTTCAAAAAAAAGAAAGAAAGAAAAAAATTGTGCCAAGCACTCAGCAGAATAGCACATGCTAGAACCTCTATTTTACAGGACTAGTTTCACTCAAATGATGGGGATATTTCCCCAAGAATTTCTGAGAAATTTGTGCAAATTACTGAATCTAATGCAGGAGTAACATAGCATATTTAAAAAGTTGGGGCAGGGAGAGGAGAGGTGTAAATTGTGAGGAAATGTAAATTGTAATAATGTAAATAGGGGGTTTCACTGTATATATAGACTTCACAAAAACAAAATTGTTCCCATTTAAGGAGCTATGGTTCCTACTACTTTATCCTGCTCCTGTTTTTGTTTATCCTGGGAGCAATATACAGGTGTAGTTTTTTTATGCTTATATTTAAATTTTATTACTAAAAATAACTTTTTTATTAAAAAATTGTTCCAAAGGCATTAAAATGAGATGTGTTAATGAGGAAAAACCTTTTTTGACATTCTCAAACTGTCGCTGAGCATTTGGTTTAGGTGACTCTTTGCTCTGAAAGTGGACGCTTAGCTCTGCTTCCTGACTGCTTCCTTTAGTTTCTATGAAACAGATTGCTAATCTAAAACTGTAGTTGAATGATTCGTGTTCAATGTTGCTTTTCTCACCATGTTAAGAAGGAAAAAAAGTGGTGACAGAGCACAAATAAATAGAACATATATATTTTTAAATAGCAACTATAAATTAAATAGCAAATGTGGAATCACTGCTTTATTCTAGCATTTGTTTTTCAACAGTAGGAGTGGATTAATGAATTGAGACATTGGCCTTTGTGGGCTGTATTTTTTTTTTCCTAATATAAAGGGAGTACCAGGATTAATTGACTATAGACTTTTTTGGAGGTGGGGTATGGCAATATGTTGATATTAACCCTAATTCTCCCCATATTTTGAAAACCTGTAATTCAAATACATGGAAAAATATCTATTAGGGCACCAGTATTAAGCTAGCATACTCTTAATATTCAGATACTCACCAGTTTGGCCTATTGCAATCCCATAGGCTTGGAAATTATACTTCAAAATAGGAGAGAATCTAGCCTAATTAGTTTAAAATTGGCTATAGTAGTCATTACCCAGTTTTGGAAGAGCACCTATGAAAATACATGTTAGTTTATTTGAACTGCACAGCATTCTGACCAGGATATGACATAACAGGATTGGCTCTTACATTCTGTCAAAAGATATTGTCATCTGTTGATGTTTGTTGCATTTAGACTTGATTAACAGTAACATTGCCAATGCTGTTTTCATCTTCCATTAACCAGAATCATTATTATTAATATTTCTGGTAGTGCCTTAGCTTGGTTTTAAAAAAAGGGGTAGAGGTGTTGATGGAAATTAATAAAAATATTTCACTTGGATGGATCCTCAGACAATATATTGAACCTCATTGAGTTAGAACTTCCATTTGTGACTGCACTTTTTGTCACTTAACACAGAAGTATTGCCTGTATGGAACCAGATTGATACCGTAAGCAATATTAATATGTTATGAGTATTATATTTTTAATCTATTGGCCACTATTAAATTTCCATTTTAAAGCCCTAATACCAAGTTCAAATTTTAAAATCATAATACTTTATATGTCCTGGCTGATCGTGCACCACTCTTTGTGCAACTCTTTAATTTCAAGTAGTGTTTCTTTCAAAACTATATATTTTTGTCTACTTGTTGCTTGTGCTTTATTATTAGTAAAATTGTGGAATATAGTGATATATTGTGTTAATTTGGACAGTAGCGGTTTTTAAAAACCATATACTGACTGAAACATGAGCCAGAGCTGAGTGCTTTATTTTAAGCTAATAATGAATGTTAAAGAGTACATATTTTCAGGATCATTTGTCTAGTGAGCAATACTTGTATTATAGGCCAATATTTTAAAAAATAAAGCTTGGTCAACCTCTATGTTACACATATTACAAGATATAGCACTTTCAAAAAGAAAACCTAAACCTTTTAAGAAATTGTCTTATAGGTTATGCTTTTTTATTATAAAATCTTTTATTATTTGTTTCAAGTGCCATTAGATTACATATATGTAGGCCTTTCATATATTGCTTTGTGTACAAAAATGGTAGACTTAATTTTAAACAGGTACATTTTACAGTGTTTTCTTATCAATTTGCTATATTGCACAGAATCCAGTGTGTTTTTTCATGAGGTTTTACAATTTTTAAAACTAGATTTACATGTTTCAAAACACACTGTCTTCCCCGGGTACATTAAAACATATATACACCCATGCCCCAAGCCATTAAAGTTTTTTTTCTAGCCTACTGAAAACCATATGATGTAGTGACTTTGGAGGAGATCTTTTAAACAATTATATTAAATATTCATAATTAGCTATGATAGATTATTATAAATCTATGATAAGTAGATGCCTATATTAACTTTGTCTTTTTTCTCACACTCTGTTTCAGCAACCATCTCTCCACACATCCTACTCCACAGAGAATCTGTTGATTTTTATTTACTTATATAGACTTACATAACATTATGTAGGTTTATGCTGAAGATCCTCAACCCATATACAGCAAGACAGAATAAAACCAACATAGTTAAAGATGTATTTAAATGATTCTTAAGGCCCTTATGCAATAAGGTTGTCAATGCTGTATGGTTGGAAGGCAGTGTCTTTTGATAACAGTTATCTAGCCCTAGAAATGACACAGAACTATTGCTAATCATATGTAAACACTTTGCAGTATAAGCTTCAGTGGTACAGTTGAACCAGAATGAATGTTTATCTTCTCAGAAACACTCCTGCAATATTGTTCTATTGGATCATGCTGCTAATGTAACTTGGGAAACAACTCCTCATGGTGCTACAAACCTTCCTGTCTCATTCAGATGTATTTTTACCCATAGAAAAAGGACTATATTAGACCTATAGGTGTATGATATATTTTTATACTGTGACTTAATTTGTCATTAATGAACTTTACAACACCACAATGTATTCATATGCACTTGCAAAAGGAAAATCTTGGACATGCAAACCTTACCAGAACAAGCCCAACTTTTGTTCATAAAATGACTGTTAGTTAAAATGAATATTGGGCTTTTTATATATATATAGTGTGGAGTGAAGAACATACTGTATGTTAACTAGAAGCCCTTTGAATTTAAAAGAAACTGGGAAACCATTAGGAAATGGATGGTGTCATACCTGAACATGAGTTGAATTGCTGATATTGTATTGAGGTAGTTTAAAAAAAAAAAAGTGTTTGGACTTGAACGCTAAAATATTCTAATGATAAAGTTTTGAGTCAAAATAGAAAAAAAAAACAAAACCCTGCATTCCAGACTGAATTTGTATATGTCTCCTGCATTTAAAATTGCTATCCTGTGATATGGGAAATCAAATTGCTTATCATGTATATGTACTTAAAATGTATTCACAAACTACTGTTGTATTTGTATAAAATATAGACAAAGATTGCATATATATTTTTGTGTATAAGCTCTG